GCCGGCAAAGCCAGTTTTTTGGGAAAATCCTAGAAAATATGGAGCCACAACAGATGTTTGGCATTAAATAATAGTTAAATCTAAAGGACATCAAGTGTGGGTCATAAACTGGTAGGCAGCAGGCTGTATAGACTAGTCTGAGCTCACTCTCTGCGAGGGTTCAAGCTAGGCTGCAAATAAATGTGACAGTAAATATTTATCTATTTTAGCAAAACATAACCAACCAAAACAATTACATGATCTGGGCATTTATAATCCTACAAGTGGGGGTTACATTAATATCATCTGTGTGTTAAGAATTCCCAATCAACATACTAAGAAGAGCTCAGAGGCCAAGGTGCTAAAACATACTAGAAACGTTTACTCAGCGAGGTTAATGTCACTTAGTCAAATGTCAAATGCTGGGACACAAGGAACCTTTGCTACATGATGCCAGAGTAGTCATAGAGGTGCCTCAATGTGGGGAATAGGTCGTCTCTGAGCCACATTGGGGGCCTATTTGCCCCGGTGGTCGGGTCCGGTGACCATCGGTGCCAACTGCAAAGTCCCTGCCGCTCAAGATGTGCCACGGGATACCCTCATACTATTTTGAATTCTTAGTGCAACCCAGTTGGGTAATCAATTGGTATTATTTTAACAACTAATTTGTGATTACAGGCACTAGAATTTTGTAAAAAATAGAAAAATGGCAACCATGAGACCAAAACAATTATGCAAACTAGCTGTGGGTATTCTATATCATTTCTGTCAATATGGTCCAATGCCGGCAGCCAGCTGGTTTGATTGGCCCACCATTGGCTATGAATTTTTGCAAAGTCAAACAATGTAATAATAGATTGTTAAAAAATACACTTAATATCAGTGTTTTTTGCAGATACAAAAATATATCAGTGCAAGTGATTTTCAAACTAACTCATAACTTCTCAGATACCGGTAACCACCTGAACTAGGCTGAATATCTATTACTACATTGGCCAATGCAGCCCAACATGGTGTGCGAACGTGCCGAGACTCGTCGGCACAAATGTCCCCGGGCTAATCGGCCCGGCCCATCACCTCCCAAGGACAGGTCCCCTTCCCCTGCCTGAAATGAGACAGGCATTCTTGCTTGGCACTTTCCAGGCAGAGGGAACGGGACCTGGGTCCTTGAGGGTGATGGCCGGCGATAGCCCGGGCATCTGGTCTGCAAAGTTTGGGAAGTTACACCTATGTTGGAGCTGCAGCCAAACTGTAGTAATAGATATTCAGCTAGTATTAGGGTGGGTTACGGGTATCTGAAGAAGTTATGGTAGTTTGAAATCATGAGCTGATATACTTTTGTATATGGCACAAAACTGATATTAAGTGTATTTTTTAAATATGCCCTACCTAACGCGCCGGGCTATTATTACAATTTGTTTGAGCATTTTTGCATCCTTAGCCATGGTGGTGGCCAATTCAACAGATGCATGGACATATGGACCAAATAGATATAGAATAAAACCACAGCTAGGGTTTGCATAATTGTTTTCATGGTTCCATTATTCTATTTTACAAATGGTCTAGGTGCTGTAATCCCACAAATTAGTTTTAATAAACAATTGTATATACCATTTCATATGAATTAAATATATTAAATAAATCCGGCACATCTTGAGCGGCAGGGACTTGCGTGGCACGATGGTCACCGACCGACCACCGGCATAGCTCCAAGTGGGCTCGAGAGGACCTATCCCCAACATTGAGCACCTCTATGATATCTGGCCATGTGCAAAGGTTTTGTGTCCAGCATTTGAATTTGACAGTGACATATACCTCGCCTTGGTTAAACGTTTCTTAGTATGTTAGCCCTTGGCTCTCTGAGCTCTCTTATATGCTGATGGAAATTCTTACACACAGATATAGAATATAAATGTACGACGCACAGTGTAGGGATTATAAATTGCAATCTGTAATTGTTTGTGGCTGGTTATGTATTGTAAAATAGATAATATTTACTTTTCTTACATTTTATTGCAGATACTGAACCTGATAAGTAAGTCCTAGTGACTATCTACAGCTGTGCTAGTTTATGAACTATTGATTCCTTTTAGATTTAAACTTACTTTATTTAATGCAAACATCTGTTTGTGCTCATATATTTCTAGGATCTTTCCCCAAACACTGCATGCGGCAATCCCAATGAGCGGGAGTGTCAGGTGCTTCGCCCATGGATAAAGAGTGTGAGCAACCATATGTACTGGTGTGCGGTGTCGACCCCTTCTGGTGAAGGAGCCCAGATTGTTGCGAAATGGGAGTCGGTTGTGTCTCATGTACAGAACGTACACACAGGCCATGGAGACCTATTCCCGTCATGCATCCATGGCAGGCTGGAGGGGAGGGAGTCCCACAAGAAATGGCTGGAACCATGTGAGTGGTTTTTTTCCCAAATGTAATATATAATTAGCATAATATAATATTAACATAACATAATATATATATATAGTATATTATACTATATACAAATCCTGAACTGTAAATATACATGGCTACACATTTTAAGTTACTGATAATGGATCAATGTAATCAGTTGCCAGTAATCAGTAACAATTCTTTGTGCAGTCCCAAAACAGACATTTTAGGGACCAAAGAAAATAAATATGAGGGATTTTTTTCTGTTAGGTTATATAATATAGGATCAAAGGTATCCAAAATGGCAAACAGTCGTATTAAAACAGGTTCTTGTATTTAAATACAACCTCATCATTTTGCAGTGGTATGTAAATATGATATACTGTATGCAAGTTTCCATAGGGTAAACTTTAAAAAAAAAATCTTTTTCAGCATCCAAGGCAGCAGTCAAATTGGAGACGCTGGTGTGCAACAAAACCCTGTGTAAAGACATTTTGAAGCAATCTGGGGGCTCCCAAACATCAGCAGTGGAGGGATTCCATTGCCTCCTTATCCAGTTTGCGCCGAAGATGTATGTCTTCTCTTACACAGGAATGCTTTGTCGGTAAGTTTATCACCATTGATCCGGCTTGCAGTGTTTTAAAATAACCATGAGGTCTACCAATAATACATATTTTATATGAAGTAGCCCTTGAGAAACTTCATTGACAAGAGGCTGGATTGAAATATCGAAGTATTTTGCAAATGTATGTTAAATTCTGTTTTAAAAGTATGCTTATAACACATTTAAACAAAAATCAGGAAGCCCCCCCCTCCCAGTTTGTATGAATCCCAGTAATAAACAAATATTAAGACATAATTATGCTCCAATTCTTATTGCAGGATACTGATTGCAGCCCTCCACTTCAATGAAAATGCCAACCGGGTGCAAGGCGTGACAAAGACTGGGGAAGCCATGTATAGCATCAAGTGGGAGCAGAAGTGCTTCACAGAGGAGTCCAACGTCCAACCTATGGTGTGTGAAATTTGTAATAATGTAATGGAGAAAAAGTAAAAACAACATGATGTGGTTGCCATGCACATTGTATCAGTGACATTCTGTAACATACAACCTTGTAACATTACCAATTCCTTCCTCAGACAGAGATAATTCATTAAGGCATTTGTGCATTTAGTAAGGTTTACACAGTGATGGGCATGACTATTGTGAAGTGACGCAAGAATCAATTACAAAATTGCAACAGCATGTCTTGAACTATTTCAGCTGTAGCTAGAGTCCAAAAATATTGCTAAAGCTGGGCAATGGGGCTCTCTAGAAGTGGCTAGTTTTCTGTTTCAATGTGTTTTAATGTGCATAATATGAGTGTACCTTCGAATGTATTGTAACGGGAATAATAACCAAAATATGAAGACACTTTTATTTGCACAATATATATACAATATATATATATAACTGATCACGGAAATTGGCACTTGCAGAATATGCCCAAGAACTCCTGGCAGAAGTAGTGAAAGAGTGCACAGACAAGGAGAATGTTGAGGCAGAGTTCGCAGTGGAACCAGTGAATGTGCCACCCCCCCTTTGTGCCGAGTTCCCACATCCCGAGAAAACAGACTTTGTGAAGCAACACCTAAGCCGCTTCAAGAAATAAATTAGGTTCATCAGGTTCTGGCTGTGGCTCTTGAAATCCCTGGTAGTCGGGATCACCCGACTACCAGGGATTTCAAGAGCCACAGCCAGAACCTGATGAACCTAATTTATTTCTTGAAGCGGCTTAGGTGTTGCTTCACAAAGTCTGTTTTCTCGNTCCCCTGCTGTAAATAATAATAAAAACCCTTGATTTATAACTTAACATCTCTGTCTCCTACTGATCTGAGTATATTATAAAGAATAGCCAGTGAATTGAAGCATTATGGCACAGGCCTTTGTCAGATGGTTTATTACGCTGTTTTTTTTCTGCCATTTGATAGACTGACCTTTCAGCGTCAAAATGACAGATATTATTATTATAAGTATAAGAATTGGTATTAGTATTTTTATATAGCTAATTATTTTACAGTGCAAACATGCATCCCTTGCTCAATGAATATCACTGAGTTTTTAACAATTTTATAACCTGGCATTTTTTTATCAAACTTTAACTTAAATGAATACTTCATCCAAGAATAATTATTTATATTACAATAACCCACCGTGTGTTACCTTGAATTCTTGAAGAAACGTTTTTCTCACATGTCTCCAGGGTTATAAACAATCCAAATGCTGAAAAATGACTTGATGAATTGAATGAATTGGGTCCACGTCTAGAGTTCCCTTTTACAAACTCTCACGTAACTGGTGCAGTTTAATCAGTCTCATTTATCTTTCCTGAGCTCATTACTCACAAACTCTCAGATGTGTGTACACCAACACACACACAAGCTTGAGTCTCTATGAGTTTCAACACGCATGTTTGTTTTCCATCTCAGCTGCGCTACGAGCAGCAGATCTCAGAGCTGGAGCAGCAGCTGGAACCCAAACTGCAGCTTGACAGTGGAGAGTCAGCAGAGGGGGCGGAGCTTTGGAGGTCTCAGGTTCAAACCCTGCAGGCAGAGCTGGAGCAGGTGAAGCAGAGCCATCAGAAGGTAGTGAAGTCTCTCCAGGAGCAGAGAGAGTCCCTGCAGCAGCAGCTCAAACACAAGGTAGGCCAGAAACACTGGACATGTTGAATAGAACAATGAGTAGTAGCTGTTTATGAACCTGATTTATTTTTTGTTAAAAGGGTATAATTTAAATGTAGTCTCATATTTATTATTATCTACCCAAGATCTTTGTTTTGTTTTGAAGAAAAAGTTTAATGAAATGTTAACCTTTGCATCGTCTTCAACCGTTTTTTTTCAAAAAATGTTTCAAAATAACTTGATTTAATTGTATTTAAAATAAGTAAATAAATAGGGTCTGTGGAAAACGAACCTGTTAGATAAATGCACGTTTTGTTCAGCCGGATAATATCCACATGTCTACGTGTGGTAGAGGGTCGCTGTCATTGATGCGTTTGGCACCCCGGGCCGTTGTTTTGATATTCCGCTGAAGTATACGCTGTGACATAATAACTCTTCCTTTTTTCTTTTCTTTTTCGAGGGAAGAGGGGCGGGGGTCAGAGGGCCTAGGTATAAAAGTCACGGCTCGCCACTGCACAGATTGTATGTCAAAGTTAGTCAGAAAACCAATTAACATTTACAAATGAAAGATGACAGATGCCATACGTTTAAATAAAACACCCATAATCAGTAGTAGTTATCATAAATATTTCCTGCGAAGAAAGTATGACACCTTCTATGTTATGTGTGTTCCGATTATATGAAAGAACCCCTTGTTCTGATATGAAAAAAACATTTAAAAGGACAAAAGCATGTTAAGTAAAGAGGAAAAATTAAACACTAACATATGGTTTACATTTCGTCCCAAAGCATCTATTGCAAGTGCCTTCACCGTTTAAAGTGCTAATTGAAAAAACTCAATGTAACTGAATTCCTCTGCAGCCCCAGCCCAGTCCGGGGCGGCACCAGCGCCAGGCCAAGGCAGCCTCTGGGCTCCGGATCGAGCGTCTGAACAAAGACCTGGCCCTGAAGACCCAGAGCGTCCAGGAGCTCAGCCGCACCGTGGACCGGCTGCAGAGGGAGAGGAGCCGCATGCTGTCTGCCCCCCCCCCAGCAGAGAGCAAACGACCCGCAGCTAAAAGCCTCAGTTCTGCTGCTGGGGGGGAAACCTTTCCAGCTGCTCAGTATGAGAAGACCTACCAGCCCATTGTGTTCACAGGTACAGACCTGCCCTTCATCCTCTTCCATCTGCATGCTTACAGGAATAATATGTTGTATAAGTCACGATATCCAAAAACAAAACCAGACTTACAAAAAACTAATGCAAATACTGTATATCCATTCTTAAAGAGCCTGTGACACGAGTTTCCCCCATCATCCAAACCCATCAATTTGAGTAAATATTGTCCCCTTGAAAACCATTACTGAACTGATTTTGGTTAATTTGTACTTTGATAACCATTAATCTGCCCTTCAATGTTGACCATATTCTGGATCTTCTCGGGGATTCCTCAAATACCGCCAAATTATGTGTGACGTCATTGCGGGGCCAAGCGCTCCAGCTGCAACGTTCAGGATCCCAGCATCTGCATGTAAACGCACGATGGCGCACACAGCAGCAAGCGATGACAGCGTTGACAGTTTAATTTTGAACGTGTCTGAGAGCTCATATGAGGCTGAAGGATCGGAAAGTGATACTCATGACATAGTAGACGACATTGGCTATATGCCCTGCCGATTCGAACCATATGCCTCTGAATCGGGTGAAACGAACTCCGAGTCGGACAGTGGAGATGACAACCCGCCCAACGATCGCCAGATACCTCTCGATCTACAACGCCTGAACAATGTGGAATGGTTAGTAAACTATTTTATTTACGGAGCCAATGGGGTGGTCTACAAATTGTGCATAATAATTATATTTCCCCTGAAAATCTATAGCTTCTGGAGTAAAATGTATTCCATTAGGCAACAATTAATTGTTGGCTTCCTATTCATTAATGCATGTTAAAATGCATGTTAATAAAATAAAGATGTGGTAGATTACAAACAGCAAATATGTGATGAATCAAGTTTACAATGATTTTTATCACACACAATATATACTGTACCACATTTTACTGATGTTTATTACAATTCATGCAGCATTTCTAAAAATACAACTGTTGTTTTCAAGGTGCACATGTGGATACTGCAGAGCAGACAACCTGGAAACAGTACAGGAGTGTGTATGCTGCAGAGAGCTGGCAAAGGTCCAGGCACTCAATGGCAACCATGGGGGATCCTGCATCACACAGCACCCTGGATTTGAGGCAGTCTGCCTAAATGAATATGTGCTGGACGTGGCCTATTCATACTACAAGCAGAACCATGGCCACCTCAACAAATCTCCACACGAGTATGTATAATCTGACAACAAATTAAACTTCTGATGTGCAAACACTATACACTGTTCATACCATATTGATGCAAGTAGGCGACCATGTACACTGATGACAATACCACTACAGATTTTAGCTTGCCCACTGAAACATTACTACTTCAAGTGGTAACAGACATATTTCACTGTCACTTTTGTGAGCATTTGCCATAGTACTTATTAGATTTGCCACATGTTACTGGACTAGGGGAACCAAAGAGAAGTAAAAAAACACAAAAACAACCGGGCAAGAGAAAAAGGAGAGGAAACCGGTTTGTGAAGCCACAAGATGGACTTTTAATTAAACAAAGAGAAAGGGCTCACCAGCCAACTTGCAAAATAAACTATAACAACTTTCTTTAAACAGAAATCGACCACATTAAACAAGGTACACTGGAGAACATCTCCTAACAATGAGCAACACACACATTAAACTAGGCCTCACACAGAGACACAGAGACCATGCTGCACACATACAGCCAGAGGAGAAGGGGAGCGGGCCACTGCAGCCTTCCTCAGGTCCTTTATGGAGGTCCTGATTGGTGATTGGGAGCACCTGGGGGAGAGGCTGCACCTGGAGACAATCAGGGAGATTGAGAGACACACACACAAACACCAGCACCCACTACGGCACGTAACACACATCACAAAACTATTTTACAGATATGAATATCTTACATTTGGTAATGTATGATGCATATTAAAGCTAATAACTCACTCTCCCTATGTTTTCCCTACAGCATAATTATGTCTTAATATTTGTTTATTACTGGGATTCATACAAACTGGGAGGGGGGGGCTTCCTGATTTTTTTTTACAATTGTTATAAAGCATGTGTGACCTGTGTTACTTTTAAAAAGAAGAATGTTAACATCCATTTGCAAAATACTTAGATATTTCATTTTCAATCCAGCCTCTTGTCAATGAAGTTTCTCAAGGGCTACCTTCATATAAAATATGTATTATTGGGTGAGACCCTCATGGTTATTTTTAAAACACTGCAAGCCGGACTGAATCAATGGTGGATAAACTACCGACAAAGCATTCCTGTGATAACGAGAAGACATACATCTGCGCGGGGCGGCTGAACTTGGATCAGGAGGCTATGGAAATCCCTGCACTGCTGATGTTTGGGAGCCCCAGAGAGCTTCAAAAAATGGTCTGTTACACAGGGTTCTTGTTGCTATACCAGCCGTCTCCAATTTGACTGCTGCCCTTGGATGCTGAAAAAGACTTTTTAAAAGTGTCGGTGACCCTAATGGGAAACTTGCCCATACAGTATATAATATTTCCGATACCACTGCAACAATGATGACTACATCAATTATTTTATTCATAAACTTTAGGCACAGGCTGTATAGGGACTAGCTCATAGCACTACTTATCAGGTTGGGCAGGATCGTGGCAGAATAAATGTGAAAGTAAATATTTATCTATTTTACAATACATACCAAGCCACAAATAATTACATGATTGCATTTTATCTACATGTGTCTACATTTATTATTCATATCTGGTGTAAGAATTCCATCAGCATATAGAGAGAGACTGAGAAGCCAAGTGCTAAACTACTAGAAACGCGTTTACTGCAAGCCGAGGTATATGTACTTAGTCAAATGTCAAAATGCATGACCAAAACCTTTGCTACATGCCAGATATGCATAGAGGTTGTTCAATGTACGGGTAGTCTCTCTGAGCCACTGGCTATTTGCGTGGGTCGTGACCATCGTGCCAACTGCAATTCCTGCCGCTCAAGATGTGCAGGGACCGCTCCAACCCAGTTTTCTCACACTATGGTAGCTACCACGCACCTTCATTGCTCTAAACAGGCCACGAACACAGATACAATAGTATTAGACACGACAAAATGGAAACAAGGCCAAATATAACTACACTTAGACCTGCAGTAAATGTAATAGGATAACAGTTTAAGTATGTAATAAATCCAAACTAAATAATTTTAAATAATTAATGTCCTAAGTTGATATATTTGATTATTATGAAAATTGGTATATATACATTGTATTATTTAAAGCACGTAATTTGTGGATGTACACGCAGCTAGACATTTTGTAATTAGAATAAATTGGAAACCACAGAGAAAAAAATTATGCAAACCTAGCTGTGGTTTATTCTATAATCTATTTTTGTCGATATGTCCATGCAGCTTTGTTTCAATTGGCCACACATTGGCTAATGATTTGCCAAAATGTCAACAAATGTAATAGATTGAATATTTAAAAAATACACTTAATATCAGTGTTTTGCATATACAAAACGTATATCAGTCAAGTGATTTTTCAAACTTACTCATAAACTTCTTCAGGATAGCCGGTAACCCCACCTGAACTAGCTGAATATCTATTACTACATTTGGCCATTGCAGCTCCAACATCGGTGTAACTCCCAAACTTTGCCACAACTGGTCCCGGGCTATCGGGCCGGCCATCACCTCCAAGGCCAAGGTCCTTCCTCTTGCCTGAAGATGTTGCCAAGCAAGAATGTCTGTCTCATGTCTCATACTCGCTGGACAAACTGGCAACAAAACACTTCTCTGTGCCGGAAATGATGTCCGTGATGATATGGTCGCCAATGCCATGGTTCTCAAAACCGCAGAACGCTTTCTGCAGTGGCACCTGCCAACAAAATTGAAGCGCGACAAGGAGAATGTTGCCCGCTGGTGTGCTGTGCCGAATGTACGGGTTGGCTGTTCCATGTCACTTTCTTGAAGCAAGATGCACATGACAACGTTAATGTAGGAGGGAAGCCAATGGACATTGTGGCATGTGGGAATGTCAACTGAACCACAGTCGGGGCAGTGGGACCAGCTGAGCAACCTCGTGAGGCAAGTCAAAGAAGACTTAACGCTTGCTTCTCCTTGTGGATGGGTGTGACAGGCTCACTCCATATTCCGCGAGCTTCCACTGTTCTTCTGGTTAGTCATCTTCTGATGATGAAAGGTCGGGTTGACGAAGGTGGATCATCTTATCCTGGTGATGGAAGGGTGGAGATGGAGATGGAGATGATGATTTTTGGGATGATAATGGTGGAGTGATACGCTCTTTCTTTGGGGTGGGAATTATGTTTCATTGACTGCCAATGTCTTGGAACAGCTTCCTCTCTATGGGAGTCGCTGAAAACGAGATTTCCAAATATGAATCTATGATATGAAAAACCAATCATCAAACCATACAGTAATATTTTGCAAGAAGGTAATAGACAGGTCCAGTTTACAGCAATACAGCATGTTTGCAAATTATATTGAAAGTACTAGAGTGTGACTTATTTTGAAAATGAAGCCACTTTGGCATTTCTAGGCTTATTTTCCAGGTCCACGTATATTTCGACCTAATCGTCACATATAAATGCGCCGCCAAACTTTAGACCATGCTGTGATACACTGTACATGTACGATTTTATGAGATGGAAATGCTTGTTATTTGCGATTATGTTATCATCTACATACCCCCTCCCTCCCAAAACGCATTATTCTGATCGTATTTATCCATAAATCACTATGCATTGCCAATTCATCTTCCTTTATTTATAAACTTTATATGCTTTGTAGTATAACGCCCTGTCAAATTTAAGGCAAACTGTTCTAGATTAAGCATGCTTGCCCACTTAAAACAAGCACATTTGGCGCAAGTGCAGTAAGCAAATTTCACTTGACATAAGATGTCTTAAAAACAAGTCAGGCCTGTCCGACGTCATTTAGCAATAAAACTTGAAATAAGATTAAAAAGATAATTTCAGCCATCTAGTTAAGCCTATTAATGCAAAAGAAGCCTATTATCACTTTCAAAACTTAGGATTCTTTTAGCATCACTACTGAAATAAGATTAAAGGAATACTTAATTTCAAGCAATCTGAGTTAAAGCCTTTTAATGCAAAAAGAAGCCTATTATCACTCAAACTAGGTACTTTTTTAGCATCAAATTACCTTAAAATGAGATTTATTGGACATTTAGGAGGCGTGTGGCGCGTGGATAGTGCGTTGTTTAGGATAAGGGTCACAGGTTCAAACCCATGGCATCAGGCATTGTCGTTTGTGTCCCTGGACACTTCACCCCCAATTGCTCAGTTTGGGGATTGTTGACCCACAGTATTGAAGTATGGAATCGCTTTGATAAAAAGCAATTACATGTAAGAATCTTGTTTTAGGGAGCTAATTATGAAAAACATTGCTCTTAAAGTAAGTAAAAGCATGACAATTCTTCAAAAAACACGTTTTTATTAAGTCCAGTCCATAAAAAACAGGATCATTTTTCTCAAATGAACAAAGCTCTCCTCAACTTATACATCCTCATAGAACTTGACAAAATTGACGACAGAATTGCAAGTTCTCTACTTTTTTGTGAATTCTCCCCCATTCAGTATTGTTTTTTGATGAATGAGGTAGGTCACGCTCTTCGAAATACTGTCCTTCAAACAGGTACCTCAGTCTGACCCGATGACGGATAGGAGAGTAGCAACACATTTGGGGTAGGTGGAGGTGGCAAGCGTGTAAAACACCGCCCATCAGGATGAGTGGAGCCCTCGTGCATCATTTCCCTTAAGGTAGGGTCATCAGTGGATTTTTGCCAAACAGCCCAGGAGGAGGTTAGTAGGTCTACCAAGATGACTGTGCTGCTGAATGGGCGTTTTCTGGAGAAACTAACACCCTCCCAGAAAACGCGTATTCTGCGATCGCAAATTTACCGCTAATCAAGCAAAATGCCGCAGATTTTTTTAAGAGGCGCATATTTATCAAAGGCCGCATAATCCGCCGCTTTTTCCACACGAACGTTGAGAAAAAAAAAGTGAACTCGTCTTGACGTGACGTCATCAGCTTCGGCGCATCACAGAATGGTAAAACAACACTGTATTAGAGGTGAACGTGTGGGAGCTCAACCGATAGAGAAAAACCACCAAGATGAAAAAATCTAATCCTCTCATTTACCGACGAACATTTCTACCTAAAGGACCGTGCAAAAAAGTGGGGGGAAACTATTCTGCACCCCGTTTGCAACTGTTGTGGCTTGGAGCTAGGAGAAATCGACGGTGACGACCCAGTTTGATTCATTCAAACATTCGAAAATGCTTTCGCTGCTGCGGCAAGAAAGCCAAACAAACAACTAGCGTCCACCGACCGCATCAACCTCAAAAACCCTTTCGAGGGCTACAGAACAAGTGATAGGCTCTTACAAGGATTGAAGCTGGTCAGATGTAACGAACTCAGTAAAGATGAAAACAGAATGAGGCGGAGAAGTGGTGTGGTGTGTGTGTCTGTGTGCGTGCTGTGTGTGTGTGTGTGTTGTGTGTGTGTGTGTGTGGGGGGTGTGTGTGTGTGTGTGTGTGTGTGTGATGGG